ATATGTGAAATAGTGCTATATATTATATAATTCTGCTAACTTTAACGCTGCAATCCATAATACTGCTTATAAATATTGATTCTTCATTGTTTGATCGCTTCATTCTGGACTTTTACTTCCACTTGACGTATAGCCTATGAAAATTATATATTTTAAGAAAAGGGGTTATAAAAGTGCTCTGAAGCAAGCGATTCTACTTTTAGACTGCTTGTCAGACTTATGGAAACTAACTTTTAATTAACATCATCGCGTAGCCAAATTTAGAATTTTGTTACTGAAAAGAAATATGAGGTCTTCGAAAACATTCGTTCCAGAAAAAAAAATGGTTTTTCATAAAATTTTGTTATTATTAAAACAAAGTTTTCATAGTTGTCAAAATGTTTTGATAACTGTCCCTACCCATCTTTTTATTACTGTAAACACTAAATGTATGAACTTTAGTATTTTTCAATGGCCTGCGTTTTGAGTTTGGAAGCGTCGCTAAGCTAGACAAATTATTGAATATATGTATGTAGTTATTAAGTTCAAAACGGAGTAATGAGGAAAATACTCTGTAGTCGCCATATTAAATAGTGTTGATCTCAGCGCTTAACAAAGAATGCAGTATATATAGGTAAATAAAACTATAAGGTTTCAGTCTAAACGAAGGGTTAAAAGTGAACGAAAGTTATGATTCTAGAGTTAGAAGAAAAAAAAGGGTGTATTAAAGAAATACAGTATAGATAAATTGGTATAAAATATAATAGACTATGATATAAGTTGTGTAGGCTGTAAGTGGTGAGCTCTTAAGATGTACTTAATATTCCTGTGTGCAATGTGCAAGTGAATGATTATCATCTTCTGTGAGCTCTATTAAAAAGAACTAATGACACATTCCTAAAAATTTAATGCCAATGAGAGATAGAGCAAAATATAGTACTCTCTTTGCACTAAAATAAAGGCCGTTTTATAACTCCTAAAAAAAAAATGTAATACTGTTTTCAACACTAAATCACACCAACAGGTATATCTCGAAAAGGTTAGATTAGCAAATTTTAGAAATAATAGAATCTTATAACATGGCAAACGGAGTGGTGGATTCGCTTGAGGAACTATCTGCGATTTATAGTGTCGCAAGAAACGACGGTGGACTATGACACTTTTGTACCCTTTACTTAATACAGCGGGTGTCAATGCGCGTAATATATATAACGTATACTAAAGCTTATGATATGATAAGGCAAGCATTTTTTGAAGCAGTTAGGTATGTCGTTGATAGAGGACTATCGAAACGTAAGCCTCGAAATTCATCGCGACAGAATAACAAGTTTCAGGCATATTTCCAATGTCTATATTATGCAAATTTGTACTGTAAAATTGTGCTGACTTTGAATAATCATAAGTTTTCTATATATCATACTTAGTTCTATTTTATATATTTTCCGATTCATCTTTCCGTTTTTATAGTATATAGTCGAATTTCTTATAACAATACATAAATTTCGTACGATTTTTAAAAATAAATGGGCGTACTCCCCACCGAGAAAATCTGTTATTTGAAAGAACGTCTGTATATATATTATTTAAAGTGCTTAGCTCTAGTAAAAGCCCGATTAATTTTCCGGATACAGGTAGGAAACTTATTCCAGAAAAATTATTTGCAAAATAAATAAACTGCAAATTTTTCTTATTAAGGGGTGCGGAAATATTCTATATCCCACAACAACAATAATGATGCCACTATTTGCAGAACACTAATAAAGGGTGGCTGTAATTTATGTGTTGTGTGCGGTGGTGTGCTAGCATATGTGGTTTTTACGTGCATATTCTACAACTGTCACCTCTTTATAACTAGCGTGTCTGTTTAAAATTTAAGAGACAGGAGTTTTTTTGTGGCTGAACATACTGTTTAAAATACTGCATTCATTGCAAGAACACAAGGCCTTTCATCCAACCGCTTTCGTGTGGTATAGCGCATACTTTCTGGTGATGTTTCAACACCACCAATCGACCATTTATAGTCACAAGGGTTAATCGAAGAGTGGTGGTATAAAGCGACCAGTGACATTCTAATAAGTAAATTCAGGTGATCAAGTGAAAAGTCGGATACAATAATATTTACAAAAGAAAAAATATAAATTGAAACTAGTTTGATTTTACAGGCAGGAAGCCCTCGAGAATAAATATAATACAATCCGTTATTTTATATAATAGTAAGATATACCATAGACTTTAATGCAATATAATTATGAAGTTGAAGAACTTAAAGCACTGTAGAAATTTATTATTTAATAATTTTGGACTCTCTAGAAACACCAAACCAACCTCAAAAAATAAGAAGTAAAAAATATTGTAGCAGCGCATGCATGGGCTGCATTTTTATAAGCACATGAGCATACCAATAAACCCTGTGAAAATAAAGCACGTGGGTGCACGTTGATCTTTTTTGCCTACCTCTTTATTCCTTTTTGTTTATTATTTTATGAGCACGTGTTCTCTTATGAACATAGAAATACTACGTCTACTTTTTATCTTGTATTCTATAATAATTAATTTATTACTTTCATTTGAAAATTAACTTTTATTGGCTTTTAATTTTTTTAATATTAGTTTATTTTACTATCTCTATTTTACTTATATTTTTACTCTTTCACGCTTCGTTTATTACTTTTATTTATTATAAAGTTTTATAAGTATTTCTTAATTTTTTTTACTTTAATTTGAGCTACTGTATTATTAACTTCACTTTAATATGTCTTCACTTTCTTTCACACCTATACTTTTAAAAAGTTTGTTAAATATTGAAACAGAATGTCTTTGGTAATTGCACCCAGCAAGCTTGGCAAGGACAATTACTAAAGGGTATCTCTTAGCTTCGTCACTGGCTTATAGACTCTAGACTAGCTTTAATCACTCAGGGGTTAAAGACCTCTTTTTTATTGAAGAAAAAGTGGGTGAACGGGGATAAATTCTTCAGAGAGACTATAGGAATCTGCGCTGGGTACTTAAATAGTTGTGAAAAGGCTTCATCGCTATGTAAAGAGTAAAATTGAAGAAATTAAAGTTACAAAACCAGAGCGTGCTATCCAGATTGTTAAGGATACCTTTGGAAAAAAGTCACTTGTTACCTTTGTGTGCAAAGTTCAAGAGCTCTGTAACTCCACGAAAATCCGTGATGAAACAGTTCAACAATTCGCAATTTGACATGACTGCCTTTTAATTGAAATTGAAGAATAGTGCACAGTAAAAAATTAATTTCCCACGTGAAGGAAATTACTGATATTTATAACATTATTGCGCTCACTTATCGAGCCGGAGATGAATTCAAATATGATATTACATTTTAAACAATATTATAGCAATAACCCCTATTGCGTCGATTATAAGTACACTCTTAACGCGCTTCTTCAAGAGTAGACCAGTCATAAAGTTGAAACTGAGTCAAGACGTTTTTATTTTAATAAATCCCAAGAAAATAACTGTAAGAGCAAATATTTATCTAAGTTGCTTCATTTTCATTGCAAAGGCTGCCGAGATCTCCACTTGAGATCACATTGTCCTTTATTAGAGAAACTGAAAATTTTGCCGAAAAATAATTGGCATATATTTTCGCCTATGTCGAATCATTAAGAAGATAAACGTCGGTATGTGTTCGCACTTTAACCCCTGTTGAAAAGGGTAATAGCGTTTAACAAAGCACAGACAAAAACATAATATAATTACACTAGATAAACAAAAAATTAAAAATTATTTAAGGTAGGAAGATAATAAAGAGTCGACGTGTTGATTTTATAGGTTAAGGTTTTTTAAATCTAGTAAACCATAAATTATAGGTTAATCAGAAACTTTAAGATACTTAAATTATATGATAAAATCCGTTAAAAGCACGACACACCCACAAGCCAAACCCTGAACCCAAAAAATTTTGCGATGATTACATGTCAATTATTTACGATGGTGTTCTAGACCCTCATAAGGTTAAATCTTACAAGTATATAAACAAGCCATCACAATTTGCAAATTCTAGAACGTCGTTGGTCCTCTAAGAACTTTTTATTAATGTAAAACAAGGAGTTTTTGAGTTTACAGATCTAATCATGAAAGCTTTAATATATTGAAGGGGAGAATAATACTGTGTCATACATAAGCGAAATAGCTTATGACCAGCTTATGGCCAGCTTATGACAGCATTTGTATTAATTGTAACCCATGTAAGTATTATTATCTCAAAGTCATTTAAAAGCTATCAAAAACTAATTAGTAATGTGAAAGCATATAAGTTTAAGGGGAGCAATATTATAAATTTCTGCCTCTCGTCACATTGCTCCCGCTGAAGCTAAAAGTAAACACGGAATAGTTCAACAAAAAGAGCTTTTTTTTTGATTTAATAATTTATAAAATTTACTTTATTAGTAGCAATAAGTTAAATTTCTTTGCGCCCACACTAACAGCGATGTTTGAGAGGGGTGCGCGTTTCATAACTTTTGTTAAAAATATTTTTATAACTTAAACACTTTCCTTAGTGGCCAAAAAACCTTGTTGATCAGGGATAATTAAAAATGTTTTTCACAAAGCCAAAACAATCAAATGTTTATTGTTTAGTAAAAATTTATTTTAAATTTAATTATATATACGTAGATAAAAGAAATTTTAATCCCTCTATATAGGAGCGACCCCTGTTTTTGTTCATGCCTGTTTTCTTCTGTTGTTCTAACCCCCCTCCCTTCGCTAGTTCTTTTATATATAATAAAAGGAAGGTAGTAAGAAACTCTTTGGGGAATTACTACGAGCTACATAATGTTAATCCATTTAAACAATTTATTTATGGTTTTCAACGCTGCTTGCGCGCACGCGTATATAAACGTTTATTTTTGATGTCCATTGGTTTTTACGATATGTTCATGCAATCTCAAATCTGACTTTTAATTGGACGCGCTTTATCAGAAACATATCATTAGAGTTAATTTAGTTAAAATGCATATTATCGCTAACAATTAAAACTTTGTCAGAGTGGTCAAAGTTAGAAATTTCAGTTACCACAATAAAAAGCATATTTTCTTCACTAAAAGATGGAAATTATATAGTCATAGTAATGAAAAGAAACTAAATACTTTGTAATGAACTAAGTTTACTTTTTCTTACTGATAACACGTCGCCTGAGGAGTCCCGAGACTAACTTATTAGACAAAATCTATTTTGCCAAATAGAACCTTATAATTTACCATAGTCTCTTTCAAGAGCGAGACAAACAGTCCAACTCTCTCTTTTCTTGCATTTTTATAACTTTTTTATAGAATGGTTTGCTTGGTCTTTAAATTAGGTCTCTTGTTCGACGAAGACTGCATAACTAAAACGAAGTTCAGCTCACACAACTTTGCCATCGTAACTATCGACGAACGCCAGTTGGAGTTCGTTTCTTCCTAATTTCCTTCTTCAAAAAAGAGTAATAGCGTTGTATAGAATTTGCTACATATGTTTTTTCCTTTTTCAAGGGAGTCGATAAATGTTACACCCTACGCATCCCAAAATATGGTAGTCATAAACTTCCAGCAAACTGTGGCGTTCTTGTTCACTTTAAGCTGTCTCACACTTTGCTTCTCACTAAGCTGAGTGCTGATTGAACTTTGGTACGTAATGGTGGATCCAAATTCCACCCATTGTTATATAACACTTAAAAAAAATCTTTTTATTTCTCTTAAACAGCTCCAAACAACTTTCAAATCATTAATACGTTGTTGTTTATGGCCCACTACGAGAAAATGCGGTACTCACTTCAAAAAAAGTTTCCTCATACCCGAATAATCGTGCGAAATAATGCGTGCACGCCCCATTGATATCTTTCCGATAGCAGTTAACTCACGCAACTTCACTTTACGATCAACAACGACAATTTAGTGTATTTATTTCATGTTTTTCGAATAACTGCCTTTATTGGGCGTCCAGAGTTTCAGCTTGTCCGTCGATCCCTTTTAAACTCAGCAAACCCTTAGCCATTTGCTGTTTTCCACGGAGCAGATTCCTTATAACTCCTTTTCCACCATTGCTGAGCTTGAACGGTATTTTTTCCCTTTTGAAAAAAATTACTTAATTAACTCACGAAAATCGTTATTTTCTATTATAATGTAAATAACAAGGTTAAATTACTCATTTCAAATTACGATAAGTAAGAACGAAAGGACTTATCATTTGAAGGTTGGTACTAACTGAGAACGGTATGAACTCTTTTTAAGAGGGGCATATGTGGGTCACCTTGGGACTTTTCAGGCGACGTGTCAAAACTGTATTTAGTCGAGCTTACAAATTAATTGGTCTGCTTCTACGAAAGATGCTTTTTAAAAATTATATTAAGCTTGAGAAAAAATTGTTCGTGAATCATAGATATCAACCTCTTAAAGAAAGAGAAGTAAAAAGATTAAGTGAAGGACTTTTTCGGAGATAATTTGGCAAAAATAAAACAGGATCTCGATGTAAAGGGAGTTCATCATTGGACGTGGTTAAAATAAGGTTTTTTTTTTAAGAAAAAAATTATTTCTATTTTCCTTAGTGTTAGCTAAACTTTTAAAAAAAACAAAAACTTTATGATAAATAATCATATATGGTTACTTTTTTTTTCACTGCCAAATTTTTAAGTATACATCAAGGCTACGTACCTGTGAGCAAAGTGCGTTAAATGCAAAAAGAGCATCACTTCAAATTATCCTATATAATACAAGGAAAATTCTTTAAGCGCCAATTACCTATAGCGGTTGTTTATTTAATCCTTAAAGCTTCATTGAGACCTAAAAGGAGTCATGACAAATCTTAGTTTTACCTACTCTTAAAGAACTGTGGAAACCTCCGACCAAAAAATACAAATTAATTAAAATAAGTGATTTTGTATATCAAGTTTTTAATTACTGTGAACTGCTACTACCAGATAAATTTCTTGCTCGCTCGAGAAAAAAAAATACTTTCTACACTCAACATAGACCGAAAAAGTATTTCCAAATTTTTTTAAAAAAACCAAAGTACCCCGGGCTCTCTTATTACCTCTAGTGCCTTCAATCTTCATTAGAGCTCTTCCACGTTGTAATTTTGCGTGTGCGCAATATATTAAAACCGTCAGTCTGTGGTTACAAGACTTTTATATATAACTGTACATATGCAAACTTTTGTATTTAAGAATTATAAAGGTGTGCACTTTTTGGTGTATAACTATATGCATTTATAAAAATTAAAATTTGCTCATAACATGTATATTGTTTAAAAACCTATAATCATATGGCACGACCCGCCGCCGGCCATAGTTTTATGAGATGCCATGGCGTTACTTTTTATTGTAGAGTTACCGCAGCCTCAGTTTATTATTACCAGAATTTCTTGGGCTTTACAATTAAAAACGAAGGCTATTTATAACTTGTTGATGCTCTTTGTTCTATCTTTTTTACTACGACCTTTAATTTTGTAATCTAAAACTTTAATTTTAATAAAACAATATTCGTCAGTTTAAAATAAGGTTGTTTAGGTTTAATAGAATTCATTATAAAAAAGTGTTTAGCAAAGTGCTTTCTTAAAAGTGTATAGCGGAAGTTCTGTTTTTATCGAGTCTTATAATATAATAAATTTGTATTCCATTGTAATTCTTAAGTCTGTTAGAACAATAAGTAATTAACTCGAATGAGAAAGGCATATGCTCTAAATTTTATTACTGCCGTAAACGGTCTGATCCTCTTAGTGGAGTTACGGCGTAACCTTGTTAAGCCTCCTCGAGGCCTAGAGTTTCGGTTTACCTTCTTTCATTATTATTTCGTTATCCATAGTGGAAGTGAACGAGTCAAAAGCTGGTTTTGTGTGAGCACTGGTCACTGTCGAAGTTACAAAGACAGTCGTAGCCGTGCAAGAAGTGCTTGCAGGGCACCATATGTAATTTTTCTCATACAAGTTGTCGCATATTATTTTTTCCATCATAAGGCACTTGCGCTCAGGTATGCTAAAGCAACCTGTATTGGCAATAAAGGAGAAAGTTAAAGCTTTTTGGCTATCTTTACAGATGTATTGAGTATAATAAATGAAATACATAACCTACGTAAGAATAAGGAAAGACGAGAAGAAAAGTATATAAACACGAAGAAAAGCAATGATGACAGATATTAATAATAATAGTAGTAGTAATAATACCCTCACTACAGTCTTGACAAAGGGCTGGCGCTGCTTTGTTAACGGAAGTTTTAAAATTTGTTCGGGCATTTGTGGTTTGTAACTGGCCTAATACGTGAAAATAGAAGATAATATTTTTTGTTACTGTTAAATTTATGCCATTTATTAATATTATATACATATGAATATTTTATTTTAAAAAAGTGTTACAATGCATATTTTTTTAAGATAACATTTTCTTATTATATAGTATATTGTATTATTTTTTTAGTTAATTCTAATAAAGTTTTATTTTTTATGCGTACCACCTGCTATACGACTGCTACAATATTTGGCATTTTCCTCCACTCGCCAACATTCTATTTTTATAAAGTACCGTAAAAGGGTTAGTGTACAATCAAATATAAAACGTCGTCTTTTTTATTAATCCACCTTCGCAAAGTTTGCAATAATCGGGGGTGGTTGAAGGTGTTGGCTGTTCGGTTGGACTGGTCGGTGGAGTTTGTGAAGTTTGAGTAGTTGGTTGCTCGGTCACACTGGGAGGTGGAGATACCGTGGATATTGTAGAGCTACTGGGGGTGCTTGTTCCAGGCTCTATATTTTGGGTAGTTAGAAGTTTTTTAATCATTTTTCATAATTGGGCTATCTAGGGAGGATGTGCACCGAAATCTGGAATTTCGCAGTCGTCGACGTCGCCCACATTCCAGCAATACTGGGCAGTTATCGGGTCGTAATCCTCAGGAAATCCTTGCCAAAAATTTAAAATATCATTTTTTTAACTCACTTCCTTAACAACTGCAAATATTAACCTAGGCCTCTCTCTGGGCAAGCAGCCCACATGTTTTTATCCATTATGTCAGGGGCGTAAAGGTTTCTAGGCTCCTCATTTAATAAGGCTTCTATTTCATCAGTTGTAGCAGAGGTATCGGGAGGCTCTGAACCGTCCCTGGCTGTGGTAGTACAGTTAGCTGAATATCAAACATTTGGACTTACATTAAGTTGGTAACAACGTTTTATAGTAATGTCCGCGCAATTAAAAAATTCTTCAGATGTTGCCCAGATTTCTGGTGGGTCGTTTTTAGGAGGACAAGAATTAGTGCTGTAATAATGCCAGCGCAAAACACAGTTTGAGCAAACAAGGTCTGTCGGTAACTGTTAAGTGGGCCATTATTTGTAAATGTAAAATATAACCTTCCGGTAGTTGAACTCTCCATTTGTAGGATAGCGGTTGGTTAGGTATGTAACCCGAGTTATATCCTGAATAACAAATTAAAAAGGGGGTGGTATGTATAATAATTGTACTTATTGTAGGCATACCTAATTCATTCACAAGCCAGGAATAGGAACTAACTAGTTTTAACCACAACCGGAAACAGTTAGGATTACTTTTATCTGTGCACCCATAACGCATAAGTTGATTTTCAAAGAAGCATTCTTCTGATATATTAGCTAGTAATAAGCCGTTTCCATTAGTTTATTAAAACTATTAAATAACTTTTATATTTTACCTTTATTACAAATTTGACATCTAAAAAAGCCCATATGATGTGCAGTTATGAATGCTCGGAGCTCTATAACTGAACCTGTTAATTTCATCAGATTATTATAGAACCCTTTGCTTTAAATAATGATAGCCGTAATAACCTTGAACATAGGTTGCTGAAATATTTTGAGGCCGATTGTATTTCTGTGGTTTGTCTTAGAGTGAATTTATTTTAGCACGTAATTTATATGGCATAGTTCTTTAGATAACCCTGATAAGCGTCTCCACACTGTCCATGGCGATAACCGTCATTGTATACCATTCCCGGTCCGCCAGCAGCCAGACCTTGAGGGGTGTCCGTCAGGCCTACATTTTACAAACCACTGTTAGTATAAATAATTGATTGATACTGAATTTAAGTACACATAATAATCGACCATATAGTAAGTTTTAAAATGTTCTTATGCTATATTCAAGCAACACTCATCATATTGTTCTTACTCATTGTGATTTCAGTTAACAATTAAGGTTAACAAAGTATTACTAAATATAATACAAACCGATTAAATGGGTAACACTTAGAGCTGTAACAAACAATATAACGCACTTACCCTGCAAATTTCTTGCTGGTGGTTCAGACAGGTATCCATGCCCATAAGCATAGATAAAAAAGAACGAAAGTTTTAAAAAGATGTTAAATGTTTCCATGATTCAGTTATTGCTAATGAACTTCGTATACATATTTATCTTAGGATATAAAATCTAAATTTATTTATTATCGTAAGTAGTAGAAAATTTGTTACCTTATTTAGCATTCGAGCTGCTAAAGTAAAAATTAACCTCCGCGCTGTAGCGACTATTGGATTTTTAAGTTTTTAAAAATCTCTTCTACCTCTTGGTTCGTATCCTATTTAAGAATTTGTGTAGTTTTTTCTTTTTTAAGTGAGATAAAATAAGCGCCTAATAAGGTTAGCTTGTAGGTTCTTATTTTCCCTCGTGCATTATTTTTTTTTCAAAAACTATTTTTACATAAATATTTTCGTTTTGCGGTTAAACTTAACAAATCTTTACACTTTTTATTAACTTATATTCAGTCTCTTCAGTTTTTTTAGTAGTAAATAAATTGATTATAATAATTGCACAGGACTTTAACGTTATATTATTAGTAAAACTCGAAAAGTAGCGATAAAATTATTTTGAAATTTTTTAACTTATCAATTTCACTCAATCAATAATGGTTTTTCCGGCTAATTATAACATGTTTGTAAAGTTACCGTGTTTCAAGCAATAAGCATTGCTCCCTGCTCTTTATATCATCTTTGTATCACGGCAATTGAGTTTTTTATAAGACTTTTAAACTTTATTTGTTCTTTAAAAAAAATATAAGTTGACCACTCGTAAGAGGCAGCATCCTACGAGCCAAAATTAGATTGTCTACAATAAAAGTTCTTTTGAAGCTCATCTTAACTTTTCTGGGTCTATACCTTTTTTAGAGCTCTACACGTCTTCTTCTTTCCGAATGAAACTTCGTGTTTACAACGCGATAAAATGACGAGTATATATCGCCGAGAAGTCACATTTTTTTGACGCTGCCATGCAACGTAAAGAACTTTATTTAAAAAACGGGCTCACAGAGATAGTACCGTGATCAGGATACCCAAGACTTTTTCGCAAGGCTATAAAGCCTCCTCAGCAAAAAAGTATGAGAATCCTGCCCTTTTTATAACAGACAACAGCCCTTAACTCATAATTTAAGTTTAGGCGAAGATATAGCTGCTTAAGCGTCAAAGGTAAACCTGTTTGATTGTTAAATCTAAAAAAAAATACTTGCCGAGCTTTATAAACTTTAAGAAAAAGCATGAAGGGATACTTTTGAAGTCTCTTAAATAATTCACTTTTAATAAATAGCAAAGAAAAGTTAGAGTAATTTTTAATTCTTAGTTCAAAAACCTAGCTAATCCGAAATGGTGCCCTTTCTGCTGATTTAGAGTTTACACAGTAAAAACGCTCTGAGTAAAAGTAGGTACAAAAGTGAATGCGAAAAACTATTAAATTTCACAAGTTTTTGCACTTAAATAGTTTTCACTGTAACTATAGACGGCTGTGAGCATGAGCAGGTAAGGCTAAAAGCTCGTTGCTATATGAGGTAAAAAGAACTTTGCACTCTGACGTAAAGGTACAAACAAAAAATAACGTTGACCTTTATTTAAGGTAGTAGAGATGTTTGCTAGGTTTAGGTTTCTAAAAAACTAAATCCAAAAAATATAATGGTCACTCCTTTTTCTAAGTTTTCAGGCGAGAAACTCAACCAAAAGTCAAAACTTTTAAAATTACTCAAATTCCTTCTAGGCCGCTAGCTAACTTCACGCTCAATGGTTAGACCAATTCAAATAAAAGTAACTCTGTCAATCTAAATAAACTATAAAAAGTATATAAAGTAATAATATAAAGCCACATATAAAAAACTACAGAATAAATAATTAATGTTTTCTAAAATAAAAAAAAGATTAAATCAGAGCAAAGACAATCAATTCAAAACCGAAGTTTTCAGTCCGCCCGTCTTTACTTTCATCATTTGATGAAAATATTTCACAGCAACAATAAAAACTTACTTAAACGAGATAGCTTCTATTTATTTCTAAAATTTCCGCATGATAGGGCGGTCGTGACCAACCTTAAAGTAATAACGATAAAAATTATCTGTTAGAGTTCCAAAAAATAATCAACTCAGTCATTGCAAGTTTACAACACCGGCTTAATAAAGAAAAATCCCTAGCAAACAATAGTTAATATAATAAAGCAATTGTCTGAGTGCTACAAGAAACCGTCGATGCGGTATAATACCTGCTAACAACCTTTCTCGGAAGCAGAATTACTAAAGCGTCCTAAACCAACTACATGAGAAGGCAGCAACGAAGAGTTCAAGCGCACAAAGGAAAGGACCAAACCTACGGCGATGGTTCCCTCCAAAATTTTTACTATTTAAGCACATTTAAAAAAAGAAACCAGGTAATTCTTTTAGGAAATGTTCCCGAACAACTTAAATTTTTTCTCTTTTCCATACAACTATTTTTTTATTTTTGCTTGATTACATTTATTTAGAAATAGCGTTTTCTCGTACGTCACTAGTTAACAACTTCGAATACACGACCTCTCAAACAGGTTTTTAGTTATCCACGAGTACAGGTTTAAAAATATTACTAATGTGTCCTTCACGTTCAATTTATACCCCCAATTAACTTTCAACCGTCATGCTAACAGCGCGTCGGGCGGACGGGGGTATTGGGCGCCGTCCCACAACTTGTGAGTTCTTCCGCTAAAAGGCGATTAGCGTGTCCAGCTATCCGTTCGTAGAAGGCGACGGCATCATTTTTAAAGATGGCAATGAAGTGTATCATTGCGCACAAACAATGGAGCGTTTGTTAAAAGGTGCAGCAATTTATTTTGTCGCACTTGAAGCGGAGATGTTTTTGCCGGTAAACCGCAGATCCAGTCAAGAGATGCTTATGTTATAATGTCCGAATGTACAACACATAAAGCCTTCGTTTATTGCACAGTGAAAGTTAACTTTAGCTGCACATTAGAGGTTTATTATTTGAGTCACTGTCTTGACCTTCGCCGCCACGTAATTTACGAGCGGACGCCACGACAGCTTAGAATCTATAATAACCCCCGGGTGCTCTACCTTAGAACACCGACGGGATTTCCAAAGCCGTTAAAAGATAATGGTGTCGGTGGTGCATGTTGGAGTATGAAGCGCACCTTGCTTTGTGCTGCGTTGATGTAGAGGTCCCATAGACGACATCAGCTAGCAAGAGCGTAGTGGTAAAATATTGTAGACGCAGACATAGTAAAACGTGTGACTTTGACGATGAATAAATCACCGAATCATTGGCGTAAATGATTGCCCGAGTGTGAGGGTGCTCTGGCGGAAAAACGTTACTAGTATAGAGCGCGAATAGCAGCGGTGACAGAAGAGATCCTCGCGGGACTCCCGCTCTAAGCAGTGCAGCGCCTACTTGCACGTTAAAAACCCGGCCGTTTAGGTAAAGAACGCCCGGTGTCGCTAGAGCATGTCGCTTGCTTAATAGGCCACCATGCCATACGCGGTCAGAAACCTTCCTAGCATCGAAAATACAGCGCGATGGCTTTCTTAAAATTAAAGTTCCGGTTGTCCTCTCGGTTAAGCGAAGAGTTTTGATGTGTCGTTGAGTGTCCCTTGCGAAATCCAAACTGAACTCCGAAAAGATTTCATGAGCGTCTGCAACCGCCTTCAAACGCTTAAAGTTTCCCTGCTTCAGCTACCTTACCACTGACTCCAAAAGACTGATGGGTTAATAGTTTGCGAGGTCTTTGGCAACATTACGACTACCCCCTTTCACGTCGCCAGAGAAAATAGCAGTAGGTCAACAACGAGTTGACGAAATAGCGTAGATACTTCGTAGTTTCCTCTGGCAGTAGTTCTAAAATAAGGTTTTAGTGATGCCGTCAAGAAGGGCACTTTTCGCTTCGGAAGTAATTTGACAAGTGATTTAATCTCATCTGTGGTAGACAGCTCCAGGTAATTGGTTATACCAGTTGAGATTAAATAAGGCACAAAGGGAGCGTTATCGACGATTGTGGGGGGTTATAGAGAACGCTGGGCAGCTAGATGATCAGCAAAAGTTTCTCTTTATCTACATCGCTTTCGGCTATGGTATCTTCATAGCAAAGCGATTGCCGAGTCGAATGCTCGCGATTTCTAACTCGCTTAAAAAATTTCTAAGAGGAGGCGCGGCCGAAGTCATCAACTTCCGATACTTTATTTAATTTGTTACCCTATTAGCAGTTTATATGTGTCATCAGCTTTTTCCTAACGTGCCGGTGAAGATGGTTTAGCACTAATTTGTCTTCTACAAGATGAAAGGCCATGGCTACTCGGATGAATCTCCGAGGCTCCTTATTAATGCCTCCAGTTCCTCAGGAAGGCGTTAGGGCGATACACAACTACGTGTCGTCAATGCTCTGTTGTGAGCTTCTGTCATCGCGTGTTCAAATTTGACAAGAGTACTATTTAGTTTAGCGCGAGATCCAGTGGTTCGGAGACGGTGGGAACGCCTTCTCGGGCATTTCGAATTTGTTCCAATTCGTGAAAGGTTGAAGGAATGTCATTGCTTCCTTTTAGTCGCCTAATTGCAGCAGGACAGACAGTGATTCGACGACCGTTCATTTAGCGCTCAATAGCCGTTGGAAGGCATATTATATTTATTAACACGGCGATATTCATTAAGCCGTTTTGCCCGTCTTCCTCGACCTGTGTGTTATCAACTGTGTATAAGGAGTCTAAACCCGCGTTCCTCAGCGTAGGTCTTTGGCGGTTTATAGATAGCAAGCACAGTCATGCATACCTGCTTAGTCAGGTTGAGGGTAATACTAGCTGCATCGATTTCTTGCAGGTGGTAATGATATTGAATTGTGTTGGATGCTTCGTTTGAGCAGGAGTAGCTACTCTTCCATCACTACTGTCCAACCTATCCTGGCGATACGCCGCAAAGTTGCAGATGTTAAATGAAACATTTGGAAAGAGTTGTGTTTGCTAACAACACAGATATCTGTTCTTTTGCATTCCAGTAACTCCGGCCATCGTGTTATTCCTTCTGGACGTCCTCCGCTTCTAAAAACATGAATTGGATGTGGTTAAGCGTTGTAAATTTAAAAGCTATTGCAAACAAATTCTAAGCGTTCACGGTCTCGAACATGGTTGAGGGAATCATCGGCAAAATAGTTGCCGCCGTAAAGTTGGTTGCAATCGCTGTTCTTGTTGTTGAGTAACTGAGTCTGCATTCAATGTGAGTAAACGTTTTGGCAGGGACGGTCACGCTCTTAACGGAAAGCATTAGATATAGTGGGTGTGTTAATAGCAATTGGAGTGGAAATCGTTTGTCGTAGTCGCATAAATTGAATGGCTGTTAAAGGCATCCGCGGGTAATATGGCGGCCCATGTAGTTGGCGGTTGGTTCGCACATCTATCAAGCGAGTATTGAGTTTTGGTACACCCCGCGGTCAAGTGACCCTCACAGAACTTGACGGGCAAAAGCTTGCAGCGTAACCAAAAATCTGGCAGCGGTGACATTGTCCAACGCGAATGCTTGTATGCAACCCAGAAGTTATGCAAAAAATTACTTTCAACGTTTAAGAGTGCATTGTTCTAAAAGAAAGTATTTTTGCAAAGTCAAGACCCTAAAATGGTTATTATTTACGCACAGCTTAGTAACAATTCAACTTTGATCCGAATATGGGTCTTTTCTTTTAATAACTTTTGTCGTTCGGTTCTGGGTATACGCACCTTCACTAATTGAAACGGACGCTTCTTCCTTTCGTCATTAACAGTGTCCTCCGTGTGCATTCGTTTCACTCGGAGGAGTGTGATGCCTTACGCGTGTAGGCCCGCCTCGACAAAGGAAAGATCGAGTTCACAGTAAATTCCACGGATAGCAATTTAAATGGCTTGTCTTCACGTACCTGATAAGTGAAATGTGATAATTCTTGATTGCTGGGATAGCGCGGTATTCTTTAGTGGTTGTGGGCAAGATTTTTGTAGTACATGTTGAATTTTCATTTTTGTTATACCCTTTCACATCCGTCTAAATATGAGGCATAAAAGGTGAAAAAAGTCTTCCCATGTTTATAGCTAATAATTTCTCATAGCAATGGCGGCAGGAGTTCAAACTGCTAATACATTTCATTACTGTAATATATTTAAAAAGCAGGGGGTTAGTAGACAAAACTTAAAAAAAATTGAATCATTTGCGCGGTAAAACCAAGGACAGTCCTTAAGTATTAATTTGCCATCACCCTTACTCTGTAACTTATGGGAACATTTTTACACGGTCTTTGCCTAACCTAGCTACTGTTTAAAGGATAATAATGTCCTTCAATGATCTCGCTTTTAGTTTTACAGAGCTAATAATATATACAGTAATTTAAATTATATGCATTCCTTAATTCTTCTTAAAAAAAAGGATTATGCTATTATTGTTGGTTTACTATTACTCGCGACCTAAGGTGCAACTGTAAGAAAAAAGGACATTATAAAGTACTTTAAGATCAAAAACCGGGTATTTTTGACCGAAGAAGCACGAAAAAAAATAAATAGATTTTTACTTTTGAATAGGCCCCTTTAAGTTCCCCACTTTAACAAATTTATTCTTAAACTTGTTTCAACACGGTTTTTTTATGTAAGTTGTATCTGTAGAGCCCTAGAAGGTTTACTCACTTTCACCTGGAAAAATGTAAGCTCGACAGTGTAATAAATAAATAAAAAACATTATAAAAAACACAAGCTAAATTTTTTTTAAAAAAATATTTTCTTGAATCTTTTAACATAAATATTATTCGCATTTTTACTATTCCTTCTCAAATTCTTTTTTCTTTGTAGCTTTAAAGAATCATCCCTTTGCTAGAAGTTAGGTAAGCCAAAACATAAATTTATGAAGGAAGTGAAGAAAAGAAGCTAGTAGTGTTCGTCATAAATAAAAAGGAAAAAAAAAGTTAAAACGTTTCTTTAGGAATGCTGGGACCTATATAGGTTTTGGAAAATGTCTTGAAAGTTTTAGGAAGACTACCGATTTACGTTAAAATGACCCACCTTCCATTAAGACCTACTGAGTGGTAGTCAACTAGTGTTTTGAATTTATAGATAAAGTTTAACCGTCTGCTTGTGAAAAGTAAAAGAACCGCGATATAGCTTCTATTTTCTAGATATTTATACATCACCTTTAGAAAACCTGATATCTTTGCTCTAGTACTGGAAACGAATTCAGTATTTTAGATATTAGGGGCCTGCTCTGTAAGCCCAATTGTTTAAGTCGGCTAACGAAAACCGCAAAATAGCAAGTTGCAAGGGTCATTAAAACGAGCACTTGTGATATACAAAATAACTTAACACCTTGCTCAGGGATTATAAAAATGTCTTAAGTATAATTATTTATTTGAGCATTTAAAAAGGGTGCTTTCGCGAAGTTAACGGTGAGCTTTATGAAAAAGTTACCACGAAAAGACGTGGTTATTTCTTTCAAAATCAAAACACAAATTCATGCGTTTGAGAACCCTTCGAAAGATTTTATTATTTTTCAATAGTACTATAAATCAAAAGAAACTCTTTAAATTATTAATAAACAAGTATTTGAATTAAAAGTTAGAGAACAATAACTAAATAGATTTCATAACAAACTAATTGAAGTTGCAAAGGACCTTACCTGCATATTATTAAAATTTGTGCTATTTCTTATTGTAATAATGGGATATATTTAGTCCAAGTTTTGTTATGTTCTAAGAACTTCTAGCTTAATTTTTAATTTGTCTGGCACATAGTTTTCTCACAAGCCGAGTATAGGAAACAACGTAATGGGTCCCAAGGAAAAGGGTATGAAAACGTCACACTTGTTTATCAGAACTGATGAATTGCCAACCAAATCTTCCTTTAATTAGGGTCACCATGCAAAGCTCTGGGTTTTGCCAACCTTGTTTGGTAAAGTCCAGCGGTTTACCTGAGAACATACATAAAATTTAAGTTTCATTTTAGTCAAGCAGTTAACAACAATTTTTGCTTAGCACGATGTATAATGTTTTGGACGTTTGCACTACATATTTTTTCACAGAAGAAAATAAATATTTTTATATCTCAAATAGATTCTTCTAACTGGATTAACTCTAAAATTGAACTAAAAAAAGTATTAAGTTTGGAAAGATTAAAAAAATTAAGTGAAACAACTGCTGAACTACATAGCTTTAAATATAAATTTTCTTTCTTTACTGATCAGATCAAAGTAAGTGACTTGTGCCTCTTGGAACACTTAGAGCCTTGGGGGCTTTCAACCGAACTAAAAGGTTTTTGAAGTGTATTTTGTTACTTTCAGTATGCTTTCTTAAGTTTTATAAAACATAGAAAGAATATAGAACCTAAGTCATTATAAATTTCATTAACCATATTTTAAACTTCATTTATTGCTCACAGCAAAACAAACTCAAAGCCCTACTTTAAAAGCCAATACTCTGAAAATATATTTCTGGCCTTCGCCTGCTTTTTGTAGGCGTCCGATAAGCTTTAAAGTATATTTGCTTACTTATACTATAATAAAGAAATAAATATGAAAAAATAGCCGGGTTTTAACCCAATAACGGTTGGCAGCAGGGATTGCGGGCAATTAATAAGGCTTCGTAAACTCCGTACTATACTCCAGAAATGGGGCCGCTTTTCAGAAGCACAAATGTCTCTATATACTTTGGTTTTTATTTTATATTCTCTAAATAAGTTTAATGATATAATTAACCGGAAATTACCTGGTTCTCTCCAGAAACTCTTTCTTTCAAGGGATATTCGGTAAGCTTTATAGCTTTAGTATTAGCACTTAGTGAGTTTTTTACTATTTGCTTTAAACTGATAGAATACTGTAAATACAAAGCTGGCGAGGGAGTCGCAAGGTCTTTTTTGGGGGTATACTAGTAATACTTAGCTTTAGTTTGTAACTACAAACTTTGTAGATTCTTCATGAGTAAATCGTAAATTTTTTATATTTAAGGTTAAATTGGCTAAAAAGCTTGAAAAACATTTATTAAAATCTCCAAACCAACTTATGCAACACTATCTTTTGGGTTTAGAAGATTATATTCCTTTTAAATTTATGAGTAATTTGCTATAAAATTTATAATTATACGAAACCAGGCAACGGTAAAGTGCAAAAGAAAAAAGAAGAGTCCGTTCTCAAGTTATTTCATAAATAACTCTACTTTTCTGTTAAACGTGACTCGATTTTCAGATTTCAGTTGCAAATTGCCTTGCGACTGTTGTGCTTAGAGATTAGAGCTTCGCAAAAGTGTGTTGAAGTTGACCTCTTCGACAACACCAAAGCGGAGATTTATAAACTACTGGATCCCGTTTCTGTCTTTCTTCGAGGAAAACTTGCACATTATTTCAACTATCTCGAAGAGATGTAGTCATGAATACGAGGCTTTCTCATATCCTGCTAATTCTAAGCATTCAGGTTTGGCGAGTTGAAAACCATTCTGGTTGAATTAAAGGACTTCTACCTCGAAGTTCTGCCCGATAGTGGTCCTCCTGCAGCCAATCTTTCTATTAAGTGCATCGCAAATAAGAGACGACACCCCCTAAGAAAAAAAGTTCCCCGAAAAAAAAACGTTTATCGGACTCACACCGCCGGAGCTGCCGGGGGAGTACACTCGAAGTCTGGCGGACGGGGCCACACAAATAGCATGCCACTTCTGAAGACCATTACAATGAGCCGGGTTTCCTTGCGTAATAGCGCCGCCGGTGGGTGGCACGTGCTTTATAGCGCTGCAGCCTTTTAGAGCGTGCTTCCTTGTAGATAACCTAGGACGAGAGGCGAGTCCGACGGGCACGAGATTATTTAAGCTGGCTACCAGCAGCGAGGCAAAAACGCGCTTTCAGAAGTATGATATATGCACATAGTTCTTCTAATGCCATTATAATACTCCTATCGCCGGTATCAGCACCGCCTCCAGGGAAAACGCACTACTAAAGCACGTTGCTACCGGTTTAGGTCCTCCTCTACGCCCCAGCGGGCAAATAAAAGATGTTTTGCGTATTTTGCATTAGAGTCGCACGAGGAGGTACTAGCGGAGGAAACACCAGTCAAAAGGAAAGTGGCGACTATATTTATTCCGGACACACCGCAAGTGCAATACGCCCAAAAGTGCGCTATAAAGCTAGCGAGGTACGACGGCGATAAAGACACGCAAGACAGCCGAGGAGGCGGTTCTGAGCAAAGCAAATCTTCTTCGCGGAAACTAACTTTTGCTTAAGAGCTTGGAAGCAATAAAACATGAACTGCTCACCATGCGTTTATTTTAAAGCATCAACAAGAAGGCAAAGAGCTACGAGGAGTCCTCTTCGGCGCATTCTAACCAACGAATCATAGTTAACATTTGCTCCTGAAAGATGGACCATCCCTTTGAAGTGTGCGCGTCCTTATACCTTTGCAGCACACACCTGAACAGAAGACAGACGGCCGAACAGCGACCCCTTACCACTTTTGAATGGCCTCCTCCTCCAACACATCGTTGTGGTAAAGTGAGAAAACCACGCTCCGTAAATACTTAAGAAATGTCATATTTTCGTAGCAGTAGCTTTGAATAGTGTTCAGGGCGTTCAGTTGCGCCCTTCCCGTCCGTGTAAAGCGCGAAAGAAGGGGCGCATGTACCTGCGACAGCAACATGCGTCATTCAAAGCTCCCTTTACAAGAAAAAGTAAGGAAGCTCTACCGACATATGCTGGGCGACCTGACGCTCAATCATGTCCGCCTTCATGCTCCACTCGACCGAGTTCATGACACATGGCCACAAAAGGGTAATCAAGTGTGCCTCTGGCAGCTGGGCCTCCCTGTTAACGGCAAGTATGACCTTGGCAGTGGGTAAGCCATCAGCGAGTCGGTGGAGCAAATACAGGGAAACCTCTGCAATGCGGTCAGCAGGCTCCTTGGCCTCGAGCATCTCTGTGAGTCGAGCCCGTAACCCGTTTACTATTTCGCTCTGAGTGCGGTCCTTGAAAAACCGAATGACGGCATCAAGACCAGCGCCCTTAAAGTGCTCTTCCAGGCACTCAGCCTTGCGTTTGTTTTCAGGGAAAAACTCAAGCTGGGTAGACGGGAGGGCGCAAAAGAGGAGGAAGTAAAGAGGTCATTGGTTGTGTGTAGCAGCAGTAGTACCAGGTGATCGTCAGTGCCAGACTTCTTCATAGCAGCGCTGAAGGTGTCGAAGTCGGTATTGGCCAGCCACACCTCGAACGCCGCCGTCACGAAGCGGAGGGCGCACTCTGCGGCAGACACGGTGGTAGAGAATGCACGTGGAAGGAACGCGGGAGAGGGACGAACCATTCCGGACTAAGTAGTCCGCCAATAGGGAGTCCAGGACTTTCGGGGTTATGATGGCCGAGCTGACAAACATGAGCCCAAAAAGCGTTGCAAAGTTGCAAGTGTACTCTTCGGGCCAAATATTGATAAACTTAATCATGTGGCCTCGCAACGATCAGAAAACGTTAAAAACCGAAAGAGACAGTTCTAGAAAGTTAAGGCCAGTACTCGTGTGGTTTTGAAAAACTTTAAGTAGATATTTATATCGTCTCATTAGCTTTTCGAAAACATCATTAAAACCGCGAAGCAGCTCTTCATTTCCACCTGAACACATATTAAGAAGTCAGTTAACCAAACAAAATCATGAGCACAAAAGAATCCTAACATTCAAAGACACAACCATCCCAACGACTTTCTTCTTCGATTTGGCCTCCAGGCGCTATTTAATAAGCAAGTAATTAAAAAGATTAAGGCACATAAAACGGGGAAAGAAACCGATAATGTTCCCAGCAATAAGGACCTCAAACAAAGTCTCTCCATACTTGTTGTACTCAAGGCGGTGGCCGGCATTTTCAAGAAACTTTAAAATCTCATCAAATTTCCAGCTACAACTTTGAAGTCCGGCAGTTAATTCGTTACGAAACGAATGTGGATCGTGTTTACGAGCTTTATCCTCTTGATTATAATATTTTTAATGTAAAGGAGGAAATTTTTTTAAAAGTAATTACGATCTATTTGGCCCATCATGAAAACATCCCCAAGGAAACCCAAATAAGGGGATTAAAAAGTAATAGACAAGTTGTTTAAAGAATGAAACCTCTTTTTCGAGTACGTATTTTTTGGCCGGTTAAAGTAGGTTTTGGTTGCTTCTGTGACATACTCTAACAACAAACAGAGAATTAGACGCAAGACTGAAAGCGCCAAAGGCCAGAATAACCAAAAGAGAACTTACCTGGCGGTAGCAGGTTGTCACGAATGGCATGCACGGTTTAATAGGGATTAAAAATCCCCAACTTTCCTCGTGCTATCCTGCTGCCCCTGCCCTCAGTAAAAGAGCTTTGTGCTTTGTAAGGGACAAACTTCTACTGTAGAGAAACGTAGTCTAGTTGCGTATAAATCTTAATCACGGTATATAACTTATTAAGTATTTTTTTATAATCTTTAGCACTGTCTAAATTCATAAGCCTTACAATAAAATTTGGTTTCAGCCTCTGAATTTTATAAGGTACCAGTTTTACTCAGTAGAACTTGTTACAGGCAGGTAACTTTATATCTATATAGAAAAAGTGCTTGTTTATACTTTTTTATAAAATAACAAATATATTTCATTTCTTTCATCGTTAATTACTCCATGCCTTACGCATTTCTGAACGATATATGAAACTGATTTTAGGTACTGCAAGAAGGTTTTTTGACTATCATAATTTTCTACACCAGGTTGTTATTTCTTTTTAGCGGATGTGTAAGTATTTCTCTCGCCCAAGAAAAGGTCGCATTGCAATTCTACACTGCTTACGTAGTGGTAGCTGGGCGCGACACTGCCCTTCCTGGCTAGCGATAGTGATGTACAAATTTGTTGCAAGGTTGTATAGTTGTAACAAAAAAAAAGTGAAATAAAAAAATTAGAGGAAATAGCTTTTTATAGAGCCTTTTCCGTCCTTGTAGCTGATTAACCTTGTTTGAGAGCTCGAACTTTGAATGTCTATCGAGTCGATAGAGCAAGTTTGTCTATTGCTAAATCATTAAATTACCTTTCAGTATACGATATTCAATACTTATTTTTAACTTAAAGATATTGATGATACCCTGTCCTCAGCTTATACCGCCTAATGAGCCTGTTCTCGGTTGTGAGAGATATTATTGATGGCTGTTATACCGTACGGATTAAAGGCATTTGTAGAGTAAAGCTTTGCCTTGTTGATATTAGGCAGTAACTTTCCGAGATAGGTATTATTGCTTCTGGTTAAAAGACAACTCCTTTAATCATTGGAGAACTACGAGAGTTGTCCTTTTTAGATTTCGAGAAGACCTTCGACCGCTTTAGAAGGTAGGTCTCCAACACGAACTGCGAATGCTGAACCTCTTATGGTCAACCACAATGTCTGTAAGCCGTTTCTATGCGGGTGTCTTCTGCATACGTATCGACAAAGCGAATGCCAAATTGTATTATACCGCGCTAAACATTACGAACGCATCCTTCTACTTAGAGTTAAAGTTTATTATCTATACAGTGTTACTCTGTGAAGTAGTTTTATTTACTAATTATTACTTAATACTTTGCCCGGTTCTAGCTAACACCTCCTGGGGTTGCATTAATTCTTTTTAACAAAAAACGACTGTGAACTTACGCACGCATCGCATGCCGACAATGCAGCTACGCGACGTCAAAAGGGCTAAAGTTAATATGTCAGCACCGGTGTGGGAATATTAAGAATTGAAGAGCAAGGTGTTTTTTACCCCAGAAAAGCGTACTGCGCTGTCTACGCTGCATTCGAAAACGAAAAGACTCTATGGAAATTATCAATGCAATTTTAGGGAATTCTGTACGATAAACTGTGTAAGCGTTAGGACTTAATAACTTGCTAAGTAATTTCTTGTTTCTTTAATAAAAACATCTTGCGGGTGCGGTGAAAAATTTAAAAGAGCAAGGGTTCGTGCTCTCTCAACTAACTGAGAGCCTAAACCTTGCCCTTGCGTTTCTAGCTTCCCTTATATATTACCCTTTTTGTAATTGCAGAAATTTGTAATAGAGGATAGGCCAAAACAATCTAGAATATTTGCACCACTGTAAACGTTACCTAGAATATAATTATTTTTAATATTTATCAAGCATTACAACCAGTCTCCCGTTTATAAAAACGCACATATAATTATTACTGGTATGTTATAAATTTAAGTTAAACAGCGTTGGTAACAAATAGTGAAGTAATAACTGTATACTAACTTTTGAATTATAAACATCGCAGCATTACTTTCTTTCACTTACTTCTTAATTCGAAGGTGCCCACCCAATTTATTTTTATAATCTCAAACAAGTGTTTGTACATCCCAACTTCTGTTGAGCTTAAACGTTAAATCTTCAGGGTCATTAGAATACTATATAACTGAATGCGCACTGACACATCCTCTCTTTGTATTACACTTAGTTTAAACTTAGTTTAACT